ATGGCGGCCCGGATGCTTGCCCCTCCGTTCGCACCATCGCTTGTGGTGTCAACGTGCCCATTGTCATGGCTTCTTCGGTTCTTCCGGTGCGAAGAAGGTGGAGCTTTCACGACTGGAGGGACCGAGCCCGCCCCTTGGTCACTCGCCATGTCGCCAGCCACAGCACTTGCAGAAGTTGCCCGCCTAAACCCTAAACCCTAAACCCTAAACTCTAAACCCTAAACCCTAAACCCTAAACCCTAAACCCTAAACCCTAAACCCTAAACCCTAAACCCTAAACCCTAAACCCTAAACCCTAAACCCTAAAACCTAAACCCTAAACCCTAAACCCTAAACCCTAAACCCTAAGCCACAAAAGGAGCATCTTGATGGCCATGAAAGCACACCGCGACTGGGGAGCTGCCGAGAAGGGCATCAGGGTGCGCAGCAGAGGGTCCAAGGGCATCGCAGGTGTAGGGAGCGTTTAGGGTTTAGGGTTTAGGGTTTAGGGTTTAGGGGAGGTTAAGGGGGTATAAGGGGGGGTATAAGGGGCTACAAGGGGGGTATAAAGGATCAGGGTTTCTTCCGGAGGCACAGGTGGGGTTTTTGGGGAGGCGAGGAGGAGGCAGAGCTCGAAGCAGGACCCGAACATTGTCGTGTGCACGACGGCGCATGCTGCCTTTGACAAGGCGGGGTTTAGGGTTTAGGGTTTAGGGATTTTAAGGGTTTAGGGCCCGAAGTCTTAGGGGTGCGTTTGGCAGATCTCCTCAGCCAAGCCAGTCGATCACACTTCCCCGCGTGCAGGCGGGGAAGTATTTCAAGATCTACGCTCCGCTCTCGGAAGACGAATTTTCCTTCTCGGCCGTAGAGAGCCCCCATGACGCAGCGGCAAGCAGGTGAAAAAAGCCAGAACTGACAAAGACATGGCGGTGGACCTGAAGCACCTCGAGAGCCTGATTGACAGCAACACCGTGGCAATCGTAGGCCCACATTGCCGCACCTTAGATAGTTACAGCATGGACATACCCCTTAACATCCCTTAACCCCTTAACTGTAACCGGATTTCACCCGGCAAGGCTCTTGCTGTCAATACGCCCACGGGACCATCGATCCCATCGAGAGCATGGGCAAAGTAGGCTTCTCAGAGTAGACTGGGGTTTAAGGTTTAGGGTTCTTCTTCCTTGGCCAACAGTTGAACTTTATAAACTTTTGGGAGTTCTTTATGTGATAGGAATCATGAAGTTTACGCTTAAGAACGTCCTTGGTTATTGGAGAGAGAAGTACCTGGACCTAGCCCAGATGCGTAATATTTACCCTGTACATGGGCAGGGATAGGGGTTAGGGCAAGCGCTATGATGTTCTTCTTACATTTGCTCCATTGGGATGATAAGAGTTCTTCTGCATCACTGGGTTTTTAGGGTTTAGAGTTTAGGGATTTGTCTCAGGTCGCATTGAAGCACAACATTGGCCTACACGTCGATTGTGGCTCAGCAAAACTGCAATCCTTCCTGCCGTCGCCCAAGCAAGCCGAACGTCCCTGTTGCCTGCAGGTTGCTTAGGGGGCTTTCTCGTGCCATTTATGCAGGAGGCCTGCCCCTCAAAATCCGTTCAAGTCCCCTGAGTCTAGCAAGCCGAGCTCGTTTCGTCAAAAGGCTGGCTATCCCCTACCGCCCTTTGACTTCAGAGTTCCAGGGGTCGCTGGGCTCGGCTTGTTCCAGGGTGAGCAAAGAGCGGATCACGTGCGATCGCCCGTGGTGAGGTCACGTCCATCTCATGTGATCCTCACAAATACGGCTTCGCTCCAAAGGGCAGCTCAGTGGCGGCATTCTGAGTTTGTCATTCCCAAGCGTGGACGCCGCATGAGAAGTAGACCGAGCGCCTGCGTTCGGCCAGGTCATGTTTTCGAGCAGGGAGCTGCGCCGTCCTCTCAGCCCCATGCGTCTCAAGGTGGGCATTTGGCGCATGGAAGCGCGCGTGAGTTCCGTGGTTGGCCGAGGTCATCACATGTACTGCTACCTGACCGACTGGTCCGGAGGTATCTACGCAACACCGACCATGCCTGCCACCTACGTGCACCGCGCACAGAAGCAGAGCGAAACGGTGGCCTTGGCAAAGGACAGGGTCGCGCCCTGGTGGTCCTGTTGCGGCAACGTGGGCTGCCATGTGTAGGCCGGAGATGCAGCGAACACTCAGCAGTCGTCTACCTGTAGGGTTTAGGGTTTAGGGTTTATGGATGTTGAGGGTTTAGGGGTTTAGGGTTCAGGTGTTAGGGAGTTGAGGGTTTACGGAGCCTCCTCTTCTGCTTGACTGCAGGTTTGGGGTGGAGGGATATGTGGAGACCACTCGGCAGATAGTCGGCGCTGCGCGGCAGATCGCTGAAGGCTCTGATGTTGAGACTTGCAACAGCTGCTGTTGCGCGCTTCCCTCTGCTACTGTCCATTCCGGGTTTCCTATCGTACTACGGAGCCTCGTATTTTCGGGTATTCTAAACCCTAAACCCTAAACCCTAAACCCTAAACCCTAAACCCTAAACCCTAAACCCTAAACCCTAAACCCTAAACCCTAAACCCTAAACAGTAAACCCTAAACCCTAAACCCTCCACCCTAACGTGGCACAGGAATCAGGAAGATTGAGGGCATCCACGTGGTTGGACGGGCCGAGGCCGGCCTTGTCTTAGAGTTTAGGGGTTGGGCTGCCAGGCTGATATGAAGCAGGATATATATATATATATATATATATATATATAATATAAATATAAATATAAATATAAATATAAATAAATAAATAAATAAATATATATATATATATATATATATATATATATATATATATATATTTCTTGTACCCCCAAACGGACAGCCAACATATACACTCACCAATTTCAAAAAGGAACCTTATATACACTCACCAATAACAGTAATATATACCCTGCTTCGTATGCCTAAAGCCAGACGGCCAGGTATGTGTGGTGGCCTTCAACACGGACTCGGATGCAGGCCCCGGCGGCAAATGTTTGTTAGACCCTAAGACCCTAAGACCCTAAGACCCTAAGACCCTAAGACCCTAAGACCCTAAGACCCTAAGACCCTAAGACCCTAAGACCCTAAGACCCTAAGACCCTAAGACCTTAAGACCCGAAGACCCTAAACCCTAAACCCTAAACCCTAAACCCTAAACCCTAAACCCTAAACCCTAAACCCTAAACCCTAAACCCTAAACCCTAAACCCTAAACCCTAAACCCTAAACCCTAAACCCTAAAGGCTTCAGCTGCTACGCCGTGGCCGACTGCTTGAAGCAGCTCTGGCCTCGATGGCCTGGGGGCAGCTCTCTACATGCTGGTCCCCTCTTGGTGTTGGGTTTAGGGTTTAGGGTTTCGGGTTTAGGGTTTCGGGTTTAGGGTTCAGGGTTTTATGACTGAGGATTGAGGGTGTAGGGTTTAGGGCATACCCTGAAGATCAGGCGCCGTAGCAGAGTCGGACCTCCACCAAGAAGGGACTAGAATTCGACAACTTCCCACGTGCATGGTTTGCTGCTCTGGGCGGTTTCTGATGAGCCCTTCTCAGCGACAAGGCAGTTTGGGTGGGAGCTGGCCACTTGCCACGGCCCCAGCACATTCCAGCATCCGCTTGGCGGCCAGCACTTTTCCCGCCTATGTCCATGTAATATTCTTAATGATATGAGTAATCTCATAAATATTAAGAATATGAATACATGAACAAGAATATTAGGCGTATTAAAACATTAACAAATATGAATCATATTCATGGCTTAAGGCCAGAACCCGGCATGTGTCCACCTCGCCGTGCGCTGCTCTAAGTGGCCTCTGCAGCGCTGCTCTAAGACAAGTGTGCCGGCCCACGGCCGCCATCCGAATGCTCAGGACGCTCCTTACAGCTAAGAACGCGGCGCAGTTTCTGGCTGATCTTGAGGCCCCGATTCGAGCATGATCTGAAGACAAACTTCCACGCCTCGCTGGTGCCAGGCTGCTGTGCAAACTGCTCGAGAGAATCCAAAAGGCTTCACGTCCACGGCCGGTATGTATGGTGCCCGCCTCGTCCTTGCTTTCATTGTCTGGACGGGCTGGGGTAGAACCAAAACATCACAGCAATTTTTGGGGGCAAGAGGAATGGCTGCCACCCTTCCGGCTGGTTTCATCGAGGACGCGGCGGGGGGCTCGGTTTGGCGGGAGGGAGCGGAACGGGCACTTGGCTGCTCCGCTTTGCACAGGTCGGTGCCTACGTGGATGCTATGTCAGAGGCTCACGCAGGGCCAGCACCCGCCGCTTGAGGACTCTTGTGCTGGGTTCTTTCACAAGTCAGGGTTTAGGGTTTAGGGTTTAGGGTTGCTGTGAGGCTCATGGGGCCAGTGCAGACTGTGCCGTCTAGTCGAGCCCAGAATGGGTTCTCGCCCGCCCGGGCAAGTAGAATCGTCAGGTCTCACTTCCGGCTCGCGTAGCAATGCCAAGTAGACAGAGCTACCGAGTGGTGACAGGGGTGCTGCAGCTACTCAAGTTGGATGTGTGAAGGAGGATCTCTGCGAGACTTTTCCTCAGACCGAAAATCAAGCGAGCTGGCCATTCGCGTTCGCTGCTCGCGCCTTAAACCCTAAACCCTAAACCCTAAACCCTAAACCCTCAACCCTAACCCCTAAACCCCTCTGCCAGGACAGAGATGACCTGATTGTCAAGTCCGACAGCCTCTGAGGTTTTCAAGTGCAAAGCCCACTGCCCTAGCCCATGCAGGTTCAGCAGCTCCAGTGGTTTAGGGTTTAGGGTTTAGGGTTTTTGACACTTGGCACAGTTTGAACCACCTTGGCATTTGGCCGCCCTTGCTTGACTCATCCTCTGTGACCTGCAGCCTGAAGCTGTACCATCGATTTTGCCCCTGACTTTCCCGGCAGCTGGTCGAAGCGCGTGCTTGCCTTGAAAAGGTGGCAGGCTGCTGGGCTTGTACAGACACCCCGGAGACTTACGCGTGTATGGCAGGGCTAGGTGAGAGTCGTGCATTGACAGAAGCTGCCTGCATGGTTTGTGTCAGTACCCTAAGCTATGGTTCGTTTTGGAGCTCTCCTCATGCTAGGGAGCCCTGGTTTGTAGGCTGCCAAATCAGGGTGTGCCCAGTCCGTTGGGTTGGGACAACTACTAGCTTAAACCCTAAACCCAAAACCCTAAATCATAAACCCTAAACCCTGAACCCTGAACCCTAAACCCTAAACCTTAAACTCTAAGCCGCAGGGACAATCTGGCCCATGGCTATGGCACCTACGTCCACCAAAACGGCACGGTCTACCAAGGCCTCAGATGAGTCGATGGTGGCATGAGAAACCCAGAGACTCCAATACCCCTTCATTAAGAATGATTCCTTAAGCCATATAAGGAACCCTCTTATACTTTAAGGAATATCAAGGAGTATTCCTTAAGTAAGGGGTATTGGAGCCCCTGGACTCCACGTGAGAGCCGTAGAGCCAGGTCAATTCCGGAATGACCTGCAGGTCCGCAGTGTCAGAATCCATCTCAACCCGTGTTCATGATCCGTGCCTGCTTGTTTTTCCGCTGTGACCAGGATGGCTTTGGCACAGAGTCGTGGCCAGACAAATCCCGATTTATCGGAGAGTTCTCCCGTGGCAAGAAGAGCGGCAGTGGTGTCTGGTCGGCATGTCTTTAGTCTTGAGAAGGTGTGAAAGCTTGATCATGTCATGCGGTGGACGTTTTGACTCTAGAGTGTTACGGGTTCTTGTTGAAGAAACTTAAATTACTTACTGTAAGTTACCGTAAGAAGCAAGCAAATTGTCCAGTACTTTCTCGGTTACCCTAAACCCTAAACCCTAAACCCTAAACCCTAAACCCTAAACCCTAAACCCTAAACCCTAAACCCTAAACCCTAAACCCTAAACTGTTAACTACATTTGCGTTCCTCAAGTATGGCACATGCAAGACGTGTGGCCAGGAGTACCAGTGGCCAGATGGGTCAAAGTACCAAGGGAAGCATCCTCAGATTGCTGGCTCTATGACGCGTTTCAAGTCGGGTTTCGTGAGGGGGTTTAGGGTTTCGGGTTTAGGGTTTATGGTCAGGTTGAGAGGTTCCCAAGGGGGGTGTTCCCACGGAGGTTTCCGCGGAAGATTCTGAGCTTGCTTGCGCAGCAGTTTGGCAGGAGCACCTTCGTCAGTGTTGCAAGCAACTGAGGCAGTGGTGCATGAACATGATCGACGGCTTTGGCCTCTCCGGCCCTGACTTGACTGTAGGCGTGCGACGTGCGCCTCGTTTGCTGCCCTGTGCCAGGAATTTACATGGGTGTCGATGGGCGCGAGTACAGAGGCAGATGGATGGCCCGATTCGCAGCTACCTGTCCAATGACCTCTGTCACACAGCTGGTGCCAAGCTCTCAGGCCTCAACCATGAATGGCTGTGGTCGCTACAAGTGGGCCGGGAGCTCATGGCTGAACTTTCCCACTTGCCAGCTGCAAGCGCCAAAGCAGGATGCTGCCGCTATGTACCCATGTTGACTTGCAAGTGCCGGCTCCCACTGATCCTCCCACTTCATCCCCATATCCGCATGGCATACCGTGTGCCCAGAGATGAGATTTAAACGCAGCGTGTGGTTGCATGGGTGCTTGCTGCAGCCACTTTCAGACTCAGCGAAGTCATCCAGAGATCAAGCAGGCCACTATGTCTGGGCTATTGTGCATACCTACTGTAGACACTTCGTTGTTTCTGCAACCCTAAACCTAAAAACCTAAACCCTAAACCCTAAACCCTAAACCCCAAAACAGACATTTTGGGTTCACACAACAAAAGTTCCACCCAGCTGCGAGCCTAATGAGATTCAGCCTCGTGGGCTTCGCTCTGGTTCTGCCTTTGTCCAGAGCATGGTACGACACCGGGCATATGCTCGTGGCTCACATTGCCAAGATGCAGTTGAAGCCGGAAGAAGTGCAGAAAGTGGACAGGCTTCTCGCAACCTGGGGCCATGCCTTTCCTGGCATGTCAGAGTTTGTGAGCGGCTCTGTCTGGGCGGATCACATCAAATGCATCAGCAACGAGACGCTTCTTTGCCGTGGTCTACCCACCACCGGGCTCAATGAGCTTCTTTGCCCGCAGACAGGCGTTTGAGCAAAGCCGGCCCGCGGAATATTTTCTTGCTTCCCCTTATATCCTCCTTCTACCTCCCCCCGCCTTTTATACCCCCCCTTATACACCCCTATTTCCCCCCAATATCCCCCCTCATACCCCCTCATACCCCTGTTGTGGTAGGTTTGATGCTTGGCACTTCGTGGATCTGGACTATAGCCCAGCACCGTGGCTTGCTGGACAGCTGAGGGTGCTGAAGCATGGGGGATTGAAGGAAACCCTTATATAACCCTTATATAACCCTTATATAACCCTTATATAACCCTTATATAACCCTTATATAACCCTTATATAACCCTTATATATCCCTTATATAACCCTTATATAACCCTTCTAATCACCCTCATAATAACCCTTATAATAACCCGCATATAACAGTTATAATATCCCTAAACCCTGAACTGCGAAGCATCTCAGGATAACGTCACGATAGCCGGGGAGAGCGCTTCCCGCGCATTTGCGAATCCGTCAGCCGTTTGGGCTCTCGCGGAGGCCCTGCGCCCTTTGCCAAGTTTAAATTTCAGCATCTTCTGTAACGTTTAGGGTTTAGGGTTTAAGGTTTAGGGTTTAGGGTTTAGGGTTTAGGGTGTCAGGGCTTAGGGTGTTTCTTTTGATGTCTGATATCTGCGCCATTGCACGGAATCTGATGTAAGGAACATTTTACACCTCGCAGTCCTTCTTTGCAATCAACCTCATGCTGCGCTTTGCTTCCAGGATGGTTTAGGGTTTAGGGTTTAGGGCTTAGGGTTTAGGGTTTAGGGTTTAGGGTTTAGGGCAGACAGTTCGGGTCTCGTTCGGTGCTGCGCACCTTGAGACTCCATGGCTGTTAGCATCTTGAGGGTTTCCGACTACCCTTTCTTAGGGGTCCCTTTAAGGGGACTCTATTCCATGATCTAAGAAATAGATAACGTATTATGTTGGTTTTGTCCTATTTTTAGTTATCAGGGTTTCTTTCTTGGGGGTCCCTTTAAGGGGACTCTATTCCATTTGGGGCTTAGGGGTCAGGGTGTACCCCCTATTTTCGAAAACCCCTCTTCGTTGAATTGAGGCTCTCCACATCGTCGGAGATGTGCATCAGCCTTTGCATGCTGCGCAGGGAGTTTTTCGCGATGCGCGCTTCGGAGATGTTGCTGGCGACCGTGGTGGAAATCTCATCAGGACACGCTTGGATGATGCTTGCTTGGGCCCTAAACCCTGAACCCTAAACCCTAAACCCTAAACCCTAAACCCTAAACCCTAAACCCTAAACCCTAAACCCTAAACCCTTTCTTGTTTGCTTCTGCAGGATCCACTCAAACTGGAGCACCCTGACGAACCTTCACTTGCTCTGGGATGCGGCAGGAGGCCTCTATCTGGACGAATGGCCATACACTCCTTCACAAGCTGCCGCTGCCTTAGGGTTTAGGGTTTAGGGTTTAGGGTTTAGGGTTTAGGGCTTAGGGCTTAGGGTTTAGGGTTTAGGGTTTAGCCTCTCGGAAAAAAGCCGTCGAACGGATGGCGTGTGTGTGCTCTGCTCAGGAAGAGCTCGAAAGGAATGCTTCCAAACTGGCAGGAGAGCGGGCAAAAAGAAGCAGACCTTAGTGCAACCTGGATGACTCTGTGTGTGGGGGGCCCCTTGCAGGAGACTTTCCAAAGAGCAGTTTCGAGGCTGGGGGGCTTTCGCTCATGAGGCCCCTGGCAGATGTCACTTGAGAATCACTTGCAGAGGAATACGTGCCCGAAGACATGTCGTGCTACTTCATTCCGAGCGATTGCACGAAGGCTCTCCGACAGCCTGGAGCGTGATCAAGCTTGCGTGATGTAGATTTGGGTGATGCCGTGCTAGTTATTCGCCTCCGACTGCTGGCAGGTCTTCATTCGCTGGGCCCGGGAAGTGCATCTTCTTGCCGTGCAGGACGCATACGTCGGTGTACGTGCCGGCGGAAACGTCTCGGACCCCTTTCCTGCACTTTTGCCAAGCCAGCACCCACAATGTACACCCATAGCAAGCTTGCAGCTCGGACACCTTCGTCCTGGACTAAGGATGCCTACATTGCCAAGGTTCGGCAGGTGTCAAGACGCCAGCTTGCGTTGGCTGGATATCGCTTGGCAGACTTCCTCAGAGCCGCCGCTTGGCGCACAAGTCCCCAGAATTGCCCGGGGCCCCTTAGCTCCCAGATGAGCCTCTCCTCGATGTCATGCCTTGCCTTCACTGAATGTGCGTGAGGTCCTTCCTAGCTTGCCGTCGCCGCCGGCGGCAGCACCACGAGTGTTTTCAGCAGAGCAGCCCATGGGCTCAATCTCGAACCAGGCACCCGGATGTTGCGAACCTGCCTTGAGAATCATGCTCAGGCAGCACGCCAACTTTGCTGGCTCTGAGATGGGGAGTCTGAGCATGAGGTTCCCCCAAAGATCCCTGGATTTCAGGGTGCTATTCTTATAAGATTACCATGATCTCCGGTAGGCCACGCATGCAGAGATCTGTACGTGCGTATCGTGGTGCAGGCCCTTCTGCTGATCTGTGGACTCCAGTCTGCAGCGCTCGCAGCCATCGCAGTGCGGCAGCGCCTCAAGCACAAGATGCGTTGGCATTTGCGGGGTCTCCGAAGTTGAGGTACCTTCTTGGGGTCCTTATTATTATTATTCTTCTTATTATTATTAGATTATTATTATTACTATTATTACTATTACTATACGATTATTACTATTATTACTATTATTATTATTATTATACGGGAATCCAAGGGAACCCCACTAGTTGGGGTCCATGTTGAGGGTCCCTTAGTTTCGTAAACCCCCCCCCCCCCCATTTTCTTGGCGAATGAGAACTCCTGCAACAGCCCACCGTGGCCATCATGGACATCACGTCTGAACTGTCCTTTGGAGGTCCCGAGTAGTAATCGGAAAGGTTACACGCTTCCAGAGAGAGCCTCGCAATCAAAAGCACGGCCCTAGAACCTAAACCCTAAACCCTAAACCCTAAACCCTAAACCCTAAACCCTAAACCCTAAACCCTAAACCCTAAACCCTAAACCCTAAACCCTAAACCCAGGTTGTTGAGGTGCAGGAATCGGTGTGCCGGCCAACACGACGAGCGAGACAGCCCGTTGCAACTTGATTGTGCATTTCATGGACTGGGCCCGAACCTGCCCGCAAAAGCCTGTTCCGAGATCTGTAGTTAAGGGTGGATAAGGTCCATCTCCAGTCTAAAGCTGCTTGTGACTGCGTCCAGGCTGGTCTGATGGCCTGCTGATCCGGCACTTTGCAGACGCGACTATCGGTTTGTAATGATTTATAGGTAGCTCCGTTGGTTCCTGGCGCATCGCACGGAACCATCTGGAGCCAACCGTCTCACCCAGACACGGCCTGTTGTGGGGGCCCGGAAACTGCTTGCCCGCAAGTGCCTGTATGAGGTTGAGTGTTGCCAGGTTCCGAGTAACCCTAAACCCTAAACCCTAAACCCTAAACCCTAAACCCTAAACCCTAAACCCTAAATTCACAGCCCTGCAAGCTTCAGGTGGATGGCCGTTGCTACCAGGCCTCACTCATCGGAGATCTCGAAAACTCCGCAAAACACCTCGGGGTGGGGATGGTTTAGGGTTTAGGGTTTAGGGTTTAGGGTTTAGGGTTTAGGGATGCAATCTGCCTGTTGCAGGGACAGTACGTCCGCGACCAGAAGGATGGCTTCGGCATCTTCAAGTGGGTTGGAGGCTAAGTCTTCTAGTGACAAAATCTCCAAGACTAGGGGTAGGGTTCAGGGTTCAGGGTTCAGGGTTTAGGGTTCAGGTTTTAGGGTTTAGGGTTTAGGGTTTTGGGTTTAGGGTTTAGGAGTAGGCCGGATGTTTTGTATTTTCCCGGATTGGGAGACCCTCAGTGAAAGCACTCGAAAGCTAAGGCTGATGGACGGCGCTACGAGGGCTACTGGAGCAAAGGCCGATGCCGTCACTGTGGAAACGATCACTATATCCGCCTTGGGATGTTTTTTCCTTTATTTTTGTATATATAAAACGAAAAAGGATATGAACAATCTTATTTTTTGAAGGTTCTAAGGGGAGTGTAGATCAGAAATGCTGCAAATGCTGCTGTATAGAACTCGAGAATTCTCGAATCCCCCAGCCATCGGCTGAACCCACTGTCTGTGGAAGAGGGGTTTAGGGTTAGGGTTTAGGGTTTAGGGGTTTAGGGTTTAGGGTTTAGGGTTTAGGGTTTAGGGTTTAGGGTTTAGGGTTTAGGGTGTTGGAGGTCGACAGCATGGCGTTGGCCGCTTGTGCAACTCTCATGGTGCCCATCGATTGGCCCTGCCATGGGCCCAGTATGATCAAGTTAAGCCGACCGCCGTCAAGTGTCACTAGTAGTCGCTAGATTCGCTAGTGTCCTCTTTTGTGTTTAAATCGTATTTTTTGTATTGCTGTTTGGCCATTTCATGTTCTTACGCGTTTCGTGGGTCGTTCAGTCGATGGTTCCATCGCCTGGCTTTGGTCCGTCGGCCGAACTTCCCCCCCCCCCCCACACAACGCGGTAGGGGTTTACAGCATGTACAATGAGGCAAAATGAGCTCGCCAGACATCTCAGTGGAATGTGGGCCCTTTCCAACCTCTCATTCCTGATAGATGCCTGCCAGCCTGGTTTTCTCGCAGCAAACGTGGCTCGTAGGCTGATCAACTTAGCAACCTGCTGCCGACGTTCACAAAATTCCACAAATAGTCTCCTTTTTTCACCTGTGACACTTCTGCTAACCCTCCGGGGAGGAGAAGCACCAGAAAAACCAGTGGAATAGACTTGAATAGAGTTGAAGGCAGAACGCCAGAGAATGCCACAGGGATCGAGTAGCTCACAGCCATCGTCGTGTTCGACTCTACAACTTGCGTAGTACGGAGTCACCCTGTGCGGCCGAGGTGGGAGAACGGAGAACGAAAAGAGTGGCTGGAGGACGAGCAAAGCTCCGAAACGGTGACCCGCCCCAGCCAGGGTGAGCCTTGAGAGATCTTGAGGGTGAAGACATGTGGTGTGCCCCGTTTTGCGGATCAACCCTAAACCCTAAACCCTAAACCCTAAACCCTAAACCCTAAACCCTAAACCCTAAACCCTAAACCCTAAACCCTAAACCCTAAACCCTAAACCCTAAACCATCAACAAGAGTGAGATGCTCGCATCCTGGATCCGCATAAGCTTCAAACCAAAGCAAGGGCCTGGCAACGGCTCAAGCATCTCAAGCATATGGGGATTTCCGGAATTCGGGGGTGCCCTTGTTTTCATCCTTATTCTAAGGGAATCCTACTATTTGGGGCTTTTTATAGGGCTCCCTTGTATTCGTAACCTTCCATATGAAGGGCGACAGACCGAAGTGCGATAAAGCCTCATGAACTGCACTCGGCAACTCGGAGAGTTGATGCTGCTATTTGCTTAAGTAAGACTCCGCAAAGAAAAAGAGCTAAGATTTCGGAATAACAAATCTTATTGTTTTGGGGTTTTTGCCTCCCTCCCCCTCCCCCCCCCCCCCCCCCCCCTTCCCCTTCCCCTCGGCACCCAACTCCCAGCCATTCCTCTCTAGTCAACCTCTTGCCCCTCATGGCAGAAGGTTATACAGCAAGAACAACACCCCTAAACCCCCTGAACCCCCCCTAAAACCCCTAAAACCCCCTAAACCCCGTAAACCCCGTAAACCCCCTAAACCCCCTAAACCCCCTAAACCCCCTAAACCCCCTAAACCCCCTAAACCCCCTAAACCCCCTAAACCCCCTAAACCCCCTAAACCTCCTAAACCCCCTAAGCCCCCTAAACCCCCTAAACCCCCTAAACCCCCTAAACCCCCTAAGCCCAAACCCCTAAACCCCCTAAACCCCCCTAAACCCCCTAAACCCCCAAACCCCCAAACCCCCTAAACCCCCTAACCCCCCTAAACCCCCTAAACCCCCTAAACCCCCTAAACCCCCTAAACCCCCTAAACCCCCTAAACCCCCTAAACCCCCTAAACCCTAAACCCTAAACAAACAAGTCCCCCAAGAGACCACAAGAGCTGGCAGGTGAAGACGCCGCGGCGGTAGCAGCGCTTGTGCTCCGACCCAAACTTACTGTTGGTTGGTAGGGAATGGAGGTACCCCCATAGAATCCCTTGAAGTATATACATATATATATATATATATAGAGGGGGATATTGAGGTGCCCTATATAATCCCTTAAGGGGTATACATCAGGGATTATAGGGTACCTCGCTCCCTCATTCCCTACGAACCAACAGTAAGGAAAAGAAAGGTGTACTCTGATGGGATCAAATTGGCGTGAGCAAAGCACGGGTTGCGTGCAAATTATGCACCCTGCGGCTGTTTCACTGTTCACCAGTCGAACTGCTGAGCATCATATCTTGGGATGTTCCCTCTTATACTAGCAGTCCTTTGTCGGGATTAGAGTACCCCCTATTATAATCCCTGTTAAGGACTGGTAGTATAAAGGGGAACATCTCAAATCATATCTCCGGACCAGGGCAACAATTCACAGGTCGCAGCTGAAAGCAAGCAGCTGCAGTGCATGTGCTCCTGTCTGGATGCATCTGCAGCGACTACGGTTTAGGGTTTAGGGTTTAGGGTTTAGGGTTTAGTGTTTAGGGTTTAGGGTTTAGGGCTGGGTGACTATCCGATAAGGTAGAGAACAGTTTCGAAATGCTGTGGTGCATCGGGCAGATCTGCCCTGACTTTGTAGTGGATAGGTTCTGATACGCCCGACGTTGACTCCGCCTCAGTCAATGAAAGCCTCTCCCAACGTTCCATTGCTATTCAAAAGAGGCTCCAGTGCATTGCTGCCTAGGCGCTGGTGATGTGCTGTGTGAGCCTTCACAGTTGGCAGTCAAATTGCTTGCCGCCATCTGTTCAGTGATTTCTCCAAAATGACAGAGTTCAGCATGTGGTCCTTTATATGTGATCCTTGTTCTTGACCTCCAAGCCTGAGCAAACAGCGGAATTCCAGCAGTACTGCACGCTTACGGTGACTGTTCATTATCAGGGCTCAACACTACGTAGTTCAGTAGTTCAGTAGGGGACTTCACAAAGTCAGTTGGTTTTGCGGACAGGCAATGCATAATCACGTGCGCTCGGCGCAATCGGTTGGACCCCATGCCGCAGTGGGAGGTGGATCAGCCCTGGCTGTTTCATGCCCTCACCCCCTAAACCCCTAAAATCCCTAAACTCATCTAACATCCTTAGATCCCTAAACCCCTCAACCTCTACACCCCTAGACCCCTGAACCTCTACACCCCTAAACCCTCAACCCCTAAACCCTAAACCCTAAACCCTAAACCCCTAAACCCTAAACCCTCAACCCCTAAACCCCTCAACCCCCCGGATTCCCCAAAGTCCTTGATGGAAGCAGGTGATTGGTGGCTCCGGCACCGGTGGGCTGCTGGTCAGACAGGGCCAGGACGGTTTAGGGTTTAGGGTTTAGGGTTTAGGGTTTAGGGTTTAGGGTTTAGGGTTTAGGGTTTAGGGTTTAGGGTTTAGGGTTTATTGCTGTGATCAGATTTCTTGCCAGCCCGAAACTGACATGGAAGCCCTCTAAAGACTGCGGTCCTCTTTATGAGGCCCGCATTGGGGGTGGCTCAGGTTCGCTTTTTTGGGGGGACCGAAAGGAGCCAGCAATGTTCCTGTTGCTTGTGGTTGCGTGGTGCGAGTAAACTCCAAAACCTAAACCCTAAACCCCAAACCCCAAACCCCAAACCCTAAACCCTAAACCCTAAACCCTAAACCCTAAACCCTAAACCCTAAACCCTAAACCCTAAACCCTAAACCCTAAACTCCGCTCCTACGCCCTGTGGTGCTTTGGCTCAAAGCCTTCCGGCCGAGGGTTGCAGTGGGCAGAGAATCCCAGCATGGACATGCACCGACACAGGCAGTTTAGGGTTTAGGGTTTGGGGTTTAGGGTTTAGGGCTTAGGGTTTAGGGTTTAGGTTTTAGGGTTTGGGGTTTAGGGTTTGGGGTTTGGGGTTTAGGGTTTAGGGTTTGGGGTTTGGGGTTTGGGGTTTAGGGTTTGGGGTGGATTGGGCATGCACCGGCGCAGGCAGGCCACCGACATGATGTTCACCCTCTTGGCAGGCTTGGGGTTTAGGGTTTAGGGTTTAGGGTTTAGGGTTTAGGGTTTAGGGTTTAGGGTTTAGGGTTTAGGGTTTAGGGTTTAGGGCTTGGGGGGGTGCTGAAAAGCCTCAAGAGGCAAGCGAGCAGGAACAGAAAGCAAGCGAGCACGAAAGGCAAACAAGCAAACAAAAACAAACAGACACAAACAAACACCAAACACCAAAGAAACAAACAAACAAACAAACAAACAACACACACACACACACAAACAAAGACACAAACAAACAAACAAGCAAGGAAGCAAGCAAGCAAACAAACCCACCCACACACACACACACACACAGACATATGCACGCACGCACAAACAAAGACACAATGTGCGAGTTGCTAATGGTTTGTCTGCGCACCCCTTGTGTTGGTTTTGCTCGGTTGGCACTCAGTGTGCAACAGGCCAGCAAAACTGCAGCTGCTGCGTTGCTTTCACTCCCCAAGTCTCCTCAATCTCTCTCTGCGTATACCGGCGTATGAAGCTGTCCAGAAAGGGTTTAGGGTTTAGGGTTTAGGGTTCAGGGTTTAGGGTTTAGGGTGTAGGGTTAGGGTGCCATCAGTCATCCCTCGTGGCACAAGCTCTCCAGAAGAGAAGGCGCAGTGCCTCCCTCGGGAACCTTATGCAAGAGATGTCTAGCTTGGCAGTCGCAAGTTCGTGTACGAATGAACACATTCTATATAGAATAGTCTATACATTATATATATATATATATATACACATAATAGGCACGTAAATAAATAAATGCTATGATAAATCAATAGATCAATATATATATATATATATATACATATATATATATATCTATATAGATATGTATATATATATATATATATATGTGTGTATATATACATATATGTATATCTAAACAAGGCAAGGTTGGGGGGCGTGCGAAGAGACGAGGGCGGTGACATCATATAATTAATATCGCCGCCAGATATGTATTCATGCGCATACTAGTTTAAGGGGGCAGTCATGCGCAAAGAATATAATTGCATAGCGAAGAAAATGAGCGTACAATATTGTTATAGTAATTGGGTCTAAGAAGTTATACTGATACAAGGCCATATCAGCGTACAACATCCTTATACTAAAAGCCTTCATGTTACAGCAATATTTATAGCTGTATTGCATTAGGGAATTGTACAAGCAAATCAAAGCTTAAAAACCAAAAAAAAACAATACGAAAAGAAAGTACATAAATAAACAAAAATATATGCATACTAAACTATACAGTTCGATAGAGTCAAGTCGGCTGTCCCCATCCCTCGCCCAAGAGCAGCGTTGTGTGAGGCACTCCTGCAATGCGAGTGTATGGAAAGCAACTCCTGCATCCAGCTACGCGCACATTCGGCTGCGCAGCAAACATGCTACCGAGCTACCCGGCAGCCAATCCACAGTTGCTTAAGAAGATCGGGTTCAAGGGCAGTCCAGACCAAGATGCCTCACGTCTGCTTGCCGGCATTCCAGTTGATCGGTATTCCGGAGGAGATCCCTCGCTGGGGGAGAAGTGTGCGGCTGAGGATCTTATCAAGACTTTACCACCCGGTGTTGCCGTGGCAGCACTTGCCTTGAATCATCCCTCCGTAGAACGAATGGGTCTGATCAATGCTTCGCCTTCTTTTGAGGAACTCTTCGGCTACCATAGACAGGAGCTCTTGGGTAAGAATGCCTTGCGACTGCTGTGCGATGGTCGTGTGGATCCGGCGCTTGAGCTTCAGCTGGAACTTGTCTCTAGCAGCCTCCGCCCGCATCTTTCTGGAGCCCTTCCTGTGACGTTGCGCCGGAAGACGGGTGAGCTGGTGGATAGCCTCGTCATGATCACCAGGCTCAAATCCTCGCCGGATGTGCTCCTGATGCTCTACGTGGACAGGATGTCAACGCCGAACGCCGAGGATCGGCTCCTTGCCCAGGCTCAATTAATCTACTACTTGGAGGGTTTAGGGTTTAGGGCGTAGGGCTTAGGGTTTAGGCTACTTAAAACCCAATTGTAAGTGCAGTTATAGCCCACTCTTAAGACTCTTAAAGCCCTTGAAAGGGTTATAATTGGGTTATAAGTACAGCTTTAATTGGGTTACTAAGTACCATGTTCACAAGTGCCCTACCACTACTAAGAGTGAATCCCCTTCGTTCCCAACTAATAGTAATTCCATGAGGCTATCGGAATTGTCCCCTGCAATCTAATGAATGTTCTTCTCAGAGTATACTATCGCATGTTGGGACTGTGACTATGTATTTCCTCAACCCTACGTCTAAACCAAATACCGAATATCCCAATTAGGGCATATGGGTATTTCCAAAAACCGAGGTACTGCCAATGTGCCCCAAAACTACTACTCCCCAAACGACACCCCATTCTCGAAACACCCCCCCCTTTAGAGGCCTTAGGGTTTAGGGTTATGTTTGGTTGGAGTATTTCGTACCAGGTGCCCTAAACCCTGAACCCTAAACCCAAAACCCTAAACCCTAACCCCTAAACCCTAAACCCTAAACAAGGGGGTTGAAGAGTAGCCCTGGCGAGGCAAAAGCCCTGGATCGCGCGCAGAGCCAGCTCTGACCCTGACGGGCGCGAAACCCCAAAACCTCCCCACAAAACCCCCCGAAAAACTCCCAAATCCCCTTAACTGCCATATTTCAGTCGTGCTACTTTGAGCCCCCAAGCCCTCGAAACACCCAAGACCCCGGAAAACCCGTAAACCCTAAAACCCTTCGCCCTAAACCCTCAGCCTTAAACCCTGTGAAAAAAAGGGGGGTCGAAGAAATTTCCTCGGTCACCTGCGGGAGTGAGAGCTTTGGCAAGTGATCGGATGCAGAATCACATCATGATCTCGGTCGGCCCTGAAGACACCTTGTATGTTCCCCTGCTGAAACCCTTATTGGGTTTAAGAGGATCATGTTCAAGAATATTCTGAGAGGGTTTTCAGGGCCATCCTGGATGGTGTGCCCACGACTTTCTCAATCGTGATCCTGCGATTTTTTAATGATACCTTTTTGTATTTGCTTGGTGTTTCAACTGTGTTTAACTGGCATTTAAGTTGCATGTTTCGGCTTTTAACAGGGCCATGCCACGGGACCTCCAGCCATCAATGATCGGCCGTCATCACCCGCCATGCAGTGCACAAGGTCACGTGATCCTGGTGGCATGTGCTCTGACAGTTTCGTCGCTTCGATTCCGATTCGCGTCTTTCTGCTCAGCTAGAGAAGACCAAGTTGAGCATGTCGCCTTTGACGATGCCCAAAAGGCTGTTGAGGGCTCGTGTGGGGACGAAACATGATGGCAACCAAGCATGAGGTATTAGCGGGGTTGCGCGCCGAAGGGGCACAACCCCATTCCGAGCTCAATCACGAGTGCCTTCCTTGACAAGATAAGCGAAGGGTGGTTGCTGCTCGACTTGTGCACTGGAAAGCATCGTTGCAATGCCTACTCAGAAGTAGATAGCGAGATTTCGACATTAATGACAGGCTCTTGCGACTCAAGCCGAGTGGTTTCGACGACGTTCAGCAAGTGAAGACTTACAAGCAATGAAGACGTTCGCTGCCAGCCATGGACACCAATTTTTTGATACTTTTTTTGACTGGGTTCGGGAGTCTACGTGCGATGATGGGCAGCATCGGTGGAAGAAACGCTTCACCGTGTGCCCAGTTGTTTGACGTTGTCAGAGAGTTTCACAAAGGCCATTTTTGAAGCAGACCCCTTACTGATCCAGTCACAAGGGAAGCAAGGGAAGTGAATGCCCCGCCTGCCTGCAGCTCTTAGAGAACTGTTCGCAATGTGCCCTAGAAGTTTCGCAGCTTTAGTGCAGGTTTCCGGCTGATGCACACTTCACTGTCTACGGTTACCACTTAACGTGGTAGAGCAGCGTCACGGGATGTTGCAGACTTTGAGCTCACTTGGCCGCAGAGGAGTAAAGGTGCTGTGACGTGCTGCCGCCTCGCATCGGACAGTTTGTCTCAGGGGCTGGGTCCGGGTAGCTAACCTTTAACCTTTTTGGTTATGTACATGTACATACATATATATATATATGTTTATACATCTTCCAGTCCCACTGCAAAAAGTTGTTAGTCCTTGTTTGGGCTAGGGTATTCAGCCCCAAATCTGTGGACCCAGTCTCCTTTTAGGAGCTGAAGTCTCCGCCGCTCGATCGCCGCCTTGAGACAGGTGCCGTCGTGGCCCGATACTCAGTAACAGCGTCCGCGGGGGCATCCTGGGTGTGTGTTATGATTTGGGACCCCCTTATACTAACAGTCCTCAAAAAGGGGTTCTTATTCTACCAGGGGGTACTCTAATCCCTTATTGCGGACTCTTAGTATAAGCGGGAACATCCCTAAACCCTAAACCCTAAACCCAAACCCTAAGCCCTAAACCCTAAACCCTAAACCCTCCCAAGTTGTGATGCCAACTTCAGGAAGAGCTGCGCCTGGCGGGTGACCGCCTGCACTACAAGATCACCCGAGGTCTTGCGCCGGGATCATAAGACTTTGTACCCTTAGGGTTTAGGGTTTAGGGTTTAGGGTTTAGGGTTTAGGGTTTAGGGTTAACCCTAAACCCTAAACCCTAAACCCCCTAAGCTCTAAGCTCTAAACCCTAGGCTCTAAAGTCTATAAACCCTAGGCCCTAAACTCTCAACCCTAAGCCCTAAACTGTAAGCCCTAAATCCGAAGTCATGCGCGGGGATCATAAGAGAGAGGGGGCCGACATGGCGTCTCCTGTGGCTTAGTTTGCTCAGGCTTGTAAATCAGCAAGTATCACCAAACTCAATACCCTAGACCCTAGACCCTAAACCCTAAACCCTCAACCCTATAAACCCTAAACCCTAAACCCCAAACCCCGAACTCAATACCCTACACCCTAGGCCCTAGAAAGTATTACGCTGACGGAAGAGCCGAGTTCGCAACGACCGAGCAACTTTCAAGTTGCACCTTGGCGCCTCGAAGAGCCCATGAACTAAAGCTCTTTGTTATCTTCAGGGTTTAGGGTTTAGGGTTTAGGGTTTAGGGTTTAGGGTTTGGGGTTCAGTATTGTTATACTTATTATGGGTTATCTTTATTGTTGTAAGCATTGTGGTTCTCTTTGTTATTGTTATGTTTAGTATTGCTATAATTGTTATGGTTATCTTTGCTATTGTTATTCTAATTATTTTTGTTGTCTAGATCCTAAACCCCAAGCCCCTGGGGGTGAGCATGGCAGTGCCAGGCCAGGGGCCGGAGGAAGGCGCGGCGCGGACTGAATGAGCTGAAGACTACGGCTTGTGTGTTATTGCAGTTCACGGTTTAGGGTCTAGGGTTCAGGGTTTAGGGTTACACACACTTGCAAAGGTACACATATATACAAAAAATGTATATATATATATATATTATATGTGAAGACGCACATACAGGCATGGTTATATACATATGTATATATGTACATGTAAGTGTACAGCTGTGGTTCACGTGGAAGTTTTGATATTTGTGTGGTTGGTGTGGGGATGTTAAAGGGTAGAAGGAGGTAAAAGGGCCTGAAGCTTGCTCCCCTATATAACCCTTATACATACCATATACAGCCCCTACATACCTAAGTAGCCCCCAAATAGCCCCTAAATAGCCCCTTCTTGAGTCCGTCGGGGATGAGCTTCCGTGCGCAGGCTGGGTGAGCATCAAGGCCTCTGGCAAGGCGCAGTTGTTTCATCAAGAGCTTGCTCCTAAACCCTAAGGCCTAGACCCTGAACCCGAAACCCCAAACCCCAAACCCCAAACCCTAAGCCCTAAACCCTAAGCCCTAAGCCCTAAGCCCTAAGCCCTAAGCCCTAAGCCCTAAGCCCTAAGCCCTAAGCCCTAAGCCCTAAGCCCTAAGCCCTAAGCCCTAAGCCCTAAACCCTAAACCCTAACCTTGAAGGCAAGACGCCATAGATGTTTGCAAGATGCCTTGATCTGTCTGATTCTCCAGGTGCTTCTGTCGCGCTTGGAAGAGGCGCGGATCACAGGGATCACCTCCTTCAATCCAATATAATATCATATACCAGAATATACTATCAGGTATATTATTATGTAAGATGTCGATATAATATTATACACGAATAAAACAAATGGGTGTAATGCGTTACTTAAATATACGAGTATCCTAGAATAGTATCTTATCATCATATCATATTCTCTTACAACATAAGACAATATACTAGAACAGAGTAGGGTATAACAACAATAGCAATCAACAACACTAATACCAATAACAAGAAGAGGAATAATAATGGTAAGAACAATAATAAAAAATAGTAAAAATAATAATAATAATAATAATAATAATAAAGAATAATAGTAAAAATGATATTAAGTAGTAATAATAAAATAGAAACAATAATAATAATAATAATAATAATAATAATAATAATAATAATAATAATAATAATTGCAATAGTAATAGTCACAAAATAAGAATACTTCCAGAGACCCTGCGAGAGCAGGCCGAGGGCTCCCGCTCCAGTGCCGCCAAGGATGAGAGCCGCGGCCTGTTGTTGACACCTTTTGCTGGGGTTTGAGGGTTTAGGGTTTAGGGTTTAGGGTTTAGCCTGTTGGCTTGTTCTATCTGCTCATTCGTTGAGATTTTGCCCTTTTGTTCTAGCGCCACATTGTTCAACCAGGGCATGTGCCATCGTCGAGACAAGAGGGGGTTCTTAGATCTTCACAGGCGAGCGCATTCTATACCAGACTGATTGAGGGAAGCATATGGCGCGATCCTTGGGGCAGAACCTCCTGTCGTATCGTGCCAGCCTGCGAGTTGCGCGGCGGCCATGGCGGCGCCCGAGCCGGAGCCTTGCGAGCGAAACTGCGGCCGCCCATCCTTCGGCCGCTTCCGCACCTGTATCTTGGTCGCCTCTATCTTAAGGATTCTTGGGAATATTTTTTTAAATTTGTGGGTACAGTAATTCCTCAGAAACGGCCAACATTTTATTTTTTGCAAGGGTTCCAAGTTCAGTATAGCTATGCCTTTGTGCATTGTGGGCCAGCCACATCTCCACATCTCTCTTCTGCCTCCTCCGCTTGCTGCAGGCTGCACTCACTGTACGGGACAAGACAGCTCCCATTCCAGGGACTGCGACGCCAGGCATTCAGGCGCCCCGCAGTACGCCCCTAAACGTCGCACCATGGTTGCCCAAGGCAGATCGCACAGATTACAGAGTGCCTCTTGTCCAGGACGAGACCCGGACGCGCGAAGCGTGCCTCGGCCATAAACGGGGGTTTCCGAAACTAGCGGTACCTTATGGGACTATATTGGGTCCCTTATCTTCGTAAACCCGCATATTGAGGGGCCGGGTTTCCTCGGGTCCCCATTTCATTCGTAGAGACCTGTGCAAAGGGAGCCTTTAGTAACTTTAGTACTTTTGGCAAGGGAAAGGGCCATTTTTTGGATAAAGCCGTCCTGCGATCCATTCGCTTCGAGCCAGGTGAGGATTGCTCTAAATTAGGGTTTCCTTTCGGGTTCTTGTGTTAAGCGTGCCGTGCTATATAGGTGACCCTAAAAAGGGCCCTAGGTTTAGAGAAGTAGCCTATATGACAGTAGTTGCAGCTAGCATTACACATGAATGTACATGTGATCGCATAATGCGACCAGCGATAGCCATGACACAAATGAAGACGATTTAATGCTAACTCATGCTGATCCGTACTAGTTCATGTTCATACTAATTCATCTGAGGTGATACTCACCATAAACCCGACACCACCGGAAGATGCCAGTCATAAGGCCCTACCCACTTGGGTGCGGCCGGAGTCCGTCCCCGAGGGGCGATGCAAGGAGGGCTGCGGTCGCAAGGCGAAGCCTCATCTGGAGCCTCGTCCTCAGGGCCTGCGTTGCAAGACAGTGCGCATTCAGGAGCCCAAAGCCCTAGATCCCTAGATCCTAAAGCCCTAAAGCCCTAAAGCCCTGTATGCCCTAAGCCCTGAAGCCCTGAAGCCCTGAAGCACTAAACCCTGAGCCCTAAGTTCCGAGGTTCTGTTGCAAAAGCCCCTCGGCTGCACGTCATTCTGGCAGGAAGGGAAGGGAATCAGAGGGCGGGTGCACCGTGCCCTGCCGTGACATCCAAGGTTGCCCATTCCTTATTGCGAAGTATGGGAAACCCGGTCATGATGCCACTTGCGCCTTTGTAGCAGATTCGACACGCGTCAGGGAGTCGGGTTTCGGGTTTAGGGTTTAGGGACGATCCTGAACCCTACTCTCCCCGAAGCCCGAACCCTACTCTAAGTCAGGCGACATTGAGGACAACGAGGGCCAGCATCCACCGTGGTATTGGTGTGCTGAGCAGAGCACGGACAGACGTGGGTATTTGCCAAGATAGGGTAACCCCCCCCCTGCCCTAAACCCTAAACCCTAAACCCTAAACCCTAAACCCTAAACCCTAAACCCTAACCCTAAACCCTAAACCCTAAACCCTAAACCCTAACCCTAAACCCTAAACCCTAAACCCTGAACCCTGAACCCTAAACCCTAAACCCTAAAACCTCAACGTCTGGTTCATCTCCGGTACCTAAGTTGGCTCGGTCTGTCTGCCTAACAGGATCCGTTCCACAACGAGGTGGAAGGCCACTATGTGCAGGAGCTGGGAACCAAGCTGCGTGCTTGCATTTCAGTTTGGGCTCGTAGGACTTTTGGGGCATTGCATTAGGGTTTAGGGTTTAGGGTATAGGGTTATGGGTTTAGGGTTTAGGGTTTCTAGGTTAGGCTTCAGGGTGGCGTTTTTTGACAGAGAGCTTGACGAACTCCTGCATCCCCCCCGCCGAGACTGATCCGGAAGTCATTGCCGACCAGACGAGTGCTCAAGTGTCTCCGTGTGGAGGACTCCATCCTCTGGGCACCCAGGCAGCACAAGAAGCCGTGAAGAAGCAAAGTCCAGCAACGTGTCCTAGAAGTCCCTTTTTGTGATACCTTCACAACCTGAATCCCTTAAAGACTCCAAACCCCGCCCACACCCGCCCCAAACCCACCCCAACCCCCCCCCCCCCCCCCAAACCACCCCCAAACCGCCCCCCACCGCCCTCCCCCCAAACCCCCCCCAACCCACCCCCACAACCCCCCCCCCCCACAAACCCCCTCAAGAAAGAGCTGCAAAGGAGGCATACGCACGGCGCCGGGCGGAGGTGCGCAGGCTTCGGCCGCCGTTGATGGACTTGAAGCCAGCGACGTACGAGGCCGAAGGGTGGGCTTAGGGTTTAGGGTTTAGGGTTTGGGGTTTGGGGTTTAGGGTTTAGGGTTTAGGGTTTAGGGTTTAGGGTTTAGGGTTTAGGGTTTAGGGTTTAGTGGACATCTAGACCTATGGTCCCTTTTTTGCACCCTAAAATATGGGCTCCGTAATAGGAAATGGCAAGCCCCCCTTCAAAAGAGACCTGAACCCCAGTCGCGAGGGCTCTGGGGCTACCTCCCCCTCCCAACCCCCCGAAATAGGGATCTTTTCGGTTTTGGCTTCAGATTTGTGGGCTGTTGTGGGGGTGTTTTCATAGTAATATGAACTCGGGTTTATACCGGTTTATATCAGTTTATATCACCTCATATTTTTAAGGAAGCCTCAATACACCCACCAAAAAGCGCAACATAAACCCTGTTTCATATCAGGGGACCCTAAACCCTAAACTTTAAACCCTAAATTTCAGGCCTAGCGGCACGGGCCGGCCCCCGCCCCCCAAAGCACGAAACCTTGAACCTTGGCACTGTCTTCTGTTTCCGTTTTCTTTGTCCTTTGTCTTTGTCTCTCTCCTCTCGCTCTCTTTCCATTTTTCTTTGTCCTTTGTCTTTTTCGCTCTCCTCTCTCTCTCTCTCTCGCTCTCTCGCGTGTTTTTTTTTTCTTTCTTTGTTTCTTCCTCTCTCCACTTGCCTGTTTTTCTTTTTCTCCGTCTTTATCTTTCTCCTCTTACTTCCCTGCGCTTCCTTGTTTTGATTTCCTCTTTCTCTTTATCTTTTTGTCTCTCTTTATCTTTATTCTCCTCGGCTTCCTTGTTTTCATTTTCTCTTTCTCTTTATCTTTTTTGTTTCTCTTTCTCTTTATTCTCTGTCTCTTCAATATCTTTTTCCTTCTACTTCTCTTTGTCTGTCTCTCTCTCTCTCTCTTTCTCTTTCTCTTGCTGTTGGTCTTTCTCTGTTTCTTTTCCTCTCTTTGCTTCTCCTTCACCTCTCTCTTTTTTCTTTTCTTTCTGTTGCTGTTAGTCTTCCTCTGTCTGTCTCTCTCTCTCTCTCTCTCGCTCTCTCTCTCTTCTTTGTTTTTTTTTTCTCTCTCTCCCTCTCTATCTTCTCACTTTCTCTTGTTCGTTCACCTTTCTCTTCTTCGTTCACCTTTGTCTCTTTTTCTCTTTCATTCTTCGTCTCCTTCTCTCTGTCTCTCTTTCTCCTGCCTTCGCCCCCCCTCCCTCCCCCCCCCCCCCCCCCCCCCCCCCCCCCCCCCCCCCCCCCCCCCCCCCCCCCCCGCCCGCCCGCGCGCGCGCGCGCACGCACGCACCCGCATCAGGAGCATCATTGGGGTTGGTTTGGGAGCCCAAAAGACATTCTAAGCATGCGTTTTGCCTTCGAAAAACCTTCAGAAAACGCTGTAAACACGTGTTTTTGAGCTTGGGAAGCCTTTTGGAACCGAGGAAGAGAGAGCATCATGAGCATCAGCGGCCTCCCCAAGGCCATCCGAAACCTCCTGAAACACGCCGATTATATGTGCTTGAACGCTTGCGTGCCCACCAAACCCCCAAAAGCAAGACCCCGAATGCCCTTAAGCGCATTCGGGGTCCTGCTGTTCGGGTGTTTTGTAGGCACGAAGCCGTTCGAGCGCGTAAAATGAGCGATTTTAGGGGCGTTTTTACGTGGACCCACAAAACACTCGGTATTTACGAGGTTTTCTGCTGTTGGAAAAACCCCCCAAACCGAGCATCATGAGCATCAGCTGGGTCTCTGGGCCGTGGGCCCGGAGGCCCACGAAGCCCCATGAGATACGATGGCCCGATGATGCCCCCGGACCCCCGCGCATCAGCAGCATCAGCAGACCCCCCCCCCGGACGTGGGTTTCGATGATGCGCACTTTGGGGGCGGGTCAAGGGCATCAAGGGTGGGGGTCGGAGGCACGCGTGAAAACCCTCATAAAAACACGGTATTTACGGTGATTTCAGCGTTTTTCAGCGTTTTTTCTTGCCTTGGGTCCGCGGGCCAGGGCTGCTGATGCTCATGATGCTCGCCTGGTTTTGGGCTTACGGTACCCCCCCCAAACCTTGAAAAACATGGTTTCGGCCTGGCGCGCGCCCCATGTGAAAAGCTAGGGTCGATGATGCGCGCCCGTGAGGGTTTAATGGGGTGCTGCGGGTGTTTTGTGGCCTCGGTTTTTCGTAAAAACCCATGGTTTTTACGAGGTTTTCGTGCTTTTCGCACCACCGCGTGTTGCCTCCCCTTGGATGCCGTTTCGGAGGCCTCCCGAAGGGCCCCGCGCGAATTTGAAGCAATTTTGGGCGGGGTCGGCGGCTCGGGCGCTCGCCCCTTAAAGCTAGCGCTTTAGTGCGACGCGGGCTCCGCCCTGGACCACGGGCGGCGCGGGGGCCGGATTTAAGAGCCTCCGGCTCAAGCCGCCGACCCCGCTGGAGCATAGTTGAAAGGTTTAAACGCGCTCGCCAGCTCAAAGGATGCCAAAAGTTGATTTGCTTGAGCCTCTGTGAAACGTTGGGGGGGGGGCGGGGGTAGGGGGTAGGACCAGGACCCAAACAGGAGCTGAAGCCTTGAAGGAGGGCAGCCCCATCAATTCAACCCCAATAGGGGCGGCAGGGTGGTAAGGGTGGGGGGGCAAGGGGGGGGGGGGAGGGGGGGCAGGGGGGTAGGGAGGGGGGGAGGGCGGTTGGGGGGGTTAGGGGGGGGTGGGTTTTTTCAGCACCCGTGAGTTTATGCGGTGTGGGTGGCCTGGCCCTCCATGGAAAAGCTGCCCGGGTACCCCCCCCTAAGGAGGGAAAGAGGGAGGTTTTCACCTCCTTTTCCCATCCCAACACGCCCTGAACCCTAAACCCTAAACCCTAAACCCGAAACCCTAAACTCCAAACCGGGGACGCGCGCGCGTGCGGTTTCTGGACTTCAGACCTTGATGCGGACAGGAGCTGCCCTACTCCGCGCTGAGCACGTCTCTTGGCGCAATCTTTCGAAAGGAGTGCAAGAAGATTTTGGGGGGTTTAGAGGGTTTAGAGGGTTTGGAGGGTTTAGCGGGTTTTAACCCTTAAACCCTCAACCCTCGACCCTCAACCCTCAACCCTCAACCCTCAACCCTAAACCCTAAATCCTGAACCCTAAACCCTGAACCCGGAAGAGCCGCTGAGGTTGGATAAGACGGTCAATGAGGTGTGGCACCTCGGCTGCGGTCTTGAGCGGTCTGCTGCTCTGGTGTTTGTTGTACTTCCGAGGCGCTTGCATGGAACAAGCGAAGATGTGTGTGCATATACATATAAACGTATACATATACACATTTTATATTCCATATATATACACACATAGTATATATGCATATAGTTATATACATATATATGTATACACATATCTGAGGCTTTTTCATGGAACAAGCGAAGAAGCTGCCAGAGCTATTTGCACCAGCCATTTCCGGCTGCCTGAGCGCGCTGCTCACGGTTCGAACTTCGGGAAGGGAGTGTACTTTGCAGACCGAGCCATCAAGAGCCACGAGTATACGCTCAAGACCAAGAGCGGCTGCCGAGTCATCATGCTGTGCCGTGTTGTTCTCGGCAATATCCTTCAGTTGCGCGGGATTGATGCGAAAGCCCATGAGACTGTGGCCGGCACCGAATACACGTCTGTCCTGGGTTGTGCAGATGGCACCAACAGGGAGTTCATTGTCTTTGACGTGGCTCAGGCTGGTTCATGCCGGCCGAAAAAGGCATGTGCCTGATTGTGCTTCTGAACTTCCTTATAAGGGGAATATAGGGATTATTATTATTATTTTTTTTTTTTTTTGGGGGGGGGGGGGGGGGGGGTTCTTAAGCACATAGGAGAACTGTGCTTGCCCTGAGGTGTATCCCGAGTACGTAATGTTCTACTGCGCCGAAGGGGGAGAGCCTCCCGACTGTTCTGTCCAATAAAGCCGCCAGTTCTCAGTTGCATTCAAGATCACTCAAGATCTCGGCGACAGAAGCAGCTGAAGGGCAAGGATCTGCATGGACAGTTCGACGACGAGCTCTAATGGTATCTATCTACAGGGACGCATGTCATGCCGGATCGGTGATCTGCCTTCACAAACTCACGGCATGGGGAAATGGTGCTGGGCTCTATGCCCTGGTCTGCAACCTCTCTGCACGGGAGGCGAAGGTCATCGGCCCCCTGAACGAAATCAAGTCGTCTGGTCGCTGCCCTCAGTGCCTGGAAGATGAAATGCACACAACACTCAAAGTTGTTTGATGCGTGGCTCGCAGGGATTTGGCCGAGCTGGCAATGTGAGGCTATATTGACAGCCTCCAGTGCCATGCTGCGCGTGTGGAGCAGCGTTTCCCGCAAAGGGCTGGCGCCCACAGGGACTTTCTTTGACGTGGTGGGCGTGAAGCGCCACTTCCATGCTTAGGATGGCTATCCAGTGTGCTTTCAACGGCTCTTCGAGTCTGGGCACGGCTTCGAGGAAGTCCCTGTGGTATGCCGCTGAAGCCACTGAGTGGCAGCTGCGGAGGCCAGGGCACCAGAAGATATCAGAAGAACCATCGGAAAGTTCGAGAAGTCCTTGGTTTCTCATACGGGTATTCTCACAATAGGGGTAGCCCCCCTTTCTACCCCAAATAGAATAGGATCCCTTAACGGGAACCCCCAAAAGTGTACCCCTATCTTCGGGAACCCCCAGTCGGCCAAAATGCAAGCACGTGATATCACAGAACATACCAACATATAACAGAAAATAACATGACATAACATAACATAACAGAACAGAACATAACATAACATGTCAGAACAGAACATAGTACAACAGAGCAGAACATAGTACAGCAGACCCGAACATAGTATAGTACAGCTAGAATGCTCCTTGCCGGCTGCTTTTATGTGTCGCGCCGCTTGGGGCGCCAGCTGCCATTGGCCAAGCGAGAGGCACCACCTGGCGAGCGAAGCAACCGGGAGAAAAGGGCGGAGGCTAATGTGGGGTGTTGTGCCATGCTGTGCCACGGCATGAAGTTAATTTCTATGTCTATTTCTAGTAGCATGATTATTAAATATTATTAGGATTATGATTATTAAGTATTTCTTGTATTATGATGGTTACGAATTGTTAGTATGTTAACTGCTGTTATCACCATGATTATTGTTATGATTGCTATTGCTCCTCTGTGCATATGGCTCAGGCTTTGACAAGTGGCAGGTTCTTGGCGTGGATGCAGACTCCGCTGCGAAAACCTTAGATTTCAGTCAGCGGAAGTGTCAGCATCTCTGCTGCATCTGCTTCGGAGTGCCCGGAGCTAGAGGCGGCAAAAAGCGAGGACGAAGTTCGTGCTTTGGCAAGAACTGGAGGGTTTTTATCCAACCGGGGGTTTACATGGGGGACCCCTTATATCAGAATATAGACCCCCAAATAGTAGGATTCCCCTTACAGTTAGGGACCCCATTGTTTTTTTTAGCCAAGTCACTCTCTTTTCCCCACGGGGATTTCGAGAACAAAGTTATATCGTCAACCCCCAACTCTCCAGATGCCAAGCTGAACCCGCAGATACAAATTCAGGCCGCATCTCTTCACAGAAGATTCTGGCATCTCTGGGCAAGCCCTACGCTGCCCATGGCCCAGAGACTCCGATGCGAGCGCTTCTAGTACTACTCATAATAGAAATATTAATTGTAATCATGATAATAGTAGTAATAATAGTAATAATACTAGAAACAATAAGAATAGTAGTAATGATAGTACTAAGAATAGTAGGAATCGGAATACGAGTAATGATACTAGAAATTCTATCTAGTAGTAATAGCCATAATAAGAAGAGTAGAAATAAAAATAGTCATAATAGCAGTGAGAGAGATATATATATATACAAATAAATAAATAAATAAATATATATATATATGTATATATATATATATTGGTAATTCTAGAATGCCGTCACCGAGTGTCCAAAGGTGTTGGGCCTGCAGCCTGGCGCGAGCAGCGCCGCCACACGGTGCGAAGCTCCGACCCTTCTTGTCGACTTGTGGGGTTAGGGTTTAGGGTTTAGGGTTTAGGGTTTAGGGGGCAGTTCTCTAAGTTAGGAGTCCCGTGTTTGGGTCCTAACCATCGTACCTGTAAAAACAGGGACCCCACTTGAAGGGACCCTCGTTGTTAGAGAACTGCCCTTGTCGCTTACCATGTACCTAGGCAGGGTATACTAGGTAGGGGCAGAAAAAAAGGTAGTTCCTATGTGGTGGCTTTAGGGGACAAATATGTACCCCTCAGGGTACGTGCGCGAGGCGGGCTTACCATTGCCTGGCCCTGCTGCATCACCCAGACAAAGGCTGCTGGGGGGGGGAAGTCGGGGCTTGACTAGGGTGGAGGGTTTAGGGTTTAGGGTTTAGGGTTTAGGGTAACCTCTAAACCTCTAAACCCTTAAACCCTCAACCCTACATGTTCAACTCCAGCATGCCCAAAAAAAGTCGGGAGGTGGCGATGACGTCGTGTTTAAAGCCATCGCGACAGCCTACAAGGCATTGACGGAGGCCTTGGCTGTCATGTGCGGCGTTTTTTTTTTTTTTAAATAAATTTTTTGTACGTGGGGGGTTGATCTAAACCCTAAACCCTAAACACTTTTCAGGAAGATAATTTCCCACAATGGAGACTCAACAATGGAGCCTAGTTTCGCTCAGCCACCCCCCCCCCCCCCCTGTAATACTTCTGCTAGGGACCGCTTTGGCGAGTCTCGTCTTAAGCACCCAACCCTAAACCCGTAAACACGCCCCGAACCCCACGCTGTGCCAGGCCAAGACTGAAGAAGGCGGCTGGAGGGACCTGGAAGGACCCATCAAGGGGTTCTTGGTAATTTAGGGAATCCCTTAAGAACCTTAAACCCGAAATGTTCTTTGGTGCCCGAAATGTATACGGCTCTGTATGAAAAAAGGCATCCCCCAAAACGGACCACAGTTCTTACAGCAGTAGTAGGGGACAGGGATACACCCTAAACCCTAAACCGAATATCTAGAGCGGCACCTAATTCCCTCTCCCCGGCTATAGGAGCAGTTGTGAAGGGGCCTCCCCACTCAGGACAAGCTGTTGGCCCGTGGCAAGGACATGTTGCTTGGCTCCATGCACGTCGACCCCATACCCTAAACCCTAAACCCTATACCCTAAACCCTAAACCCTAAACCGAGCAATGCTTTCTACGACATCTCAGGCTCCCACGGCCACGAAGGCAGGACCATGCCACACGCGCATGCAGTCAACTCCTTCGCCTTGCAAACCCGCCAGGGGATCACCTGCATGCTGTTTGACACATTTGGGTCAGCAACCCAGACTCCTCTCGGCGAAGCTCGAGGTACTGTATAATACTACTACGACATTAAAAAAGCATTAGCTGATTAAGAATTCGATAGTATCAGAAATATATTACTTCAGGAATATCGAAGTATGACGATATAACACGAGTGTGCGCTGATGATGCTGAGGACCCCACCATGGGAGAGCCGGAGGCTCTACACAGGGCCTTGTGCCCGGTCGGGAAGCGCTCTGTGCTCTGTGGCCACGGGTTGTCTTAAAAAAAACGGGTTGTTTTAGAACAGAAAACGGGTTGTTTTAAAACAAGAACGGGTTGTTTAAACAACTTGTGTTTTCAAACAACCTATGCCCACGTGGAGATTGGGTCCTCAGGTCGTGGCAAGAAGGTGTGGTTGAGCCCTCGGAATTCTCCGAATCCTCGAGCCACCCCCTCCAACCCCCGAAAGCCGAATGCCCTGACTCGAAGCCCCGAACCGACTCAAGAGAAGATGAACGCCAAGGTGCGCTGCTGGGAGCTGTCCAAAGGGGAGCCTGGCAAGCTGCGAGCTTAGCACCATGCGCTCCTGGGTTCTTGGGACCCTCCCCGAGCTCCAGCCGAAAGTTGCTCCACTTGTCCGGCTTGTGCAGAGGGGTGAGGCGACTGGGCAAGTCACGGCAAGTGGCAGAGGGCAGATAGCAGTCCCCCGCTGCGTACCCACTGGAATATTCGGGGGCTTTGTGGTGTAAACCCTAAACCCTAAAACCTAAAACCCTAAACCCTAAACCCTAAAACCCTGTCGTGTCCTGGGAAAGGACCAAGCCACCTCCACGACTTGTGGGTGAAATCGCCCGGGCACCCAGAGCCTCTTCCGAAACACTCAATACAATCATACAACAATGCAATAACCCTACTCATATAATTATCATAGTACAGTATTACAATAGGATTATACTTGATGAATAATTCAAAAAATATGTTTTTTTTACTAGTATAGTACTATGTAACAACATAGCAATATACTAAAATAATTACATAGTAGCATAAGCATGTATTGATATCAGTACAGAATTTAGTAGAATAGAATAGAATAGAATATGGAATGTACCAATATAGCAGTATAATGATATAAAATGTATTTATATAGAAATATAATGGTATAACAACATAGCCATAAAGAAATGTTTTCATATATTCGTAGAATAAAAAACTGTATAATCACATAAGAATGTAAATAACATGTCTTCACATTCACACAAATGTCATATTCCACCCTCAAGCCTCGAGCGCCTGGAGCGCCTTGAGCGTAGTCAAGGCCGTGGGCGGCTTCATCAACGATGTGGCAGCCATCTCGCCGTTCGGTCTGCTGACGGATGCACCGCCATGGTTGAACCCTGGGGTTCATGTGACGCGGTTTAGGGTTTAGGGTTTAGGGGTTTAGGGGTTTAGGGGTTTAGGGGCTTAGGGGTTTAGGGTTTAGGGTTTAGGGCGAAACGAGGGGAGGGTGGGATTCGGCCACAGTTAGACGGTAAAAGGGGAGGTGACCTGTATTCTTGGAACCACAAGCATGGTGAAACTCGGGATGTTCCCCCTTATGCTAATTACTAACAGTCCTTAATAAGGATTACAGTACCCCTATTATAATCCCTAAGAAGGACTGTTAGTATAAGGGCGAACATCCCCAGGTGAAACCTTGAGCAAACTGGAACCCAGACTTGGCCTTCCCATGCTTGGCCAGGCCCAATCAGCAGGCATGAAGCCCCTACCTGGTGAGTCGCTGAGGAGCCATGCGCGGTAGGTAATGCGGGGGTTCACGATATTAGGGGAATCGTCGACTATTTTGGGGGGCTATTTTGGGGGTCCCCTATTTCCGTAAGCCCCCCAAGTAGGTAGTTTGTCTTGTTGCGCAAATGGGCCTTGTCTGGATGCCCTACTACAACGGCTCCGCACAATTTAAGGAGCCCCCCCTTCTCTCTGAAGGACATGGAACCTTCGGACGACCCCGTTCAGGCCAAGGGTGAGGGTTTAGGGTTTAGGGTTTAGGGTTTAGGGTCTAGGGTTTAGGGTTCACGGTTTAGGGTTTAGGGTTTAGGGTCTCGTATGCTCAGGACAAGGTGCTGTACACTAGCGAATCTGCAAAGATGTTAGCTGTTGCCTGCGTATGAAACGAGCGATACTCTTGCGCGTGCCACTCGATAGTTCGATGCCGCTGCCCGTGCAGTTGCTGTTTGCAACGTTTTTGCACGTGCCAGATCTTGTCAGGCCGATCGCCACGGACTGAGTAGGCTGTCTAGCCTGAACAAGGTCAGGATCTGCCACTGATTGATGTGGGGGTTTACGAAGACAGGGGATCCTGTATATAGACCCCAAATAGAAGGATTCCCTTAGAATAAAGACCCCAATAAGGTACCCCCCCCCCCCCACCTAATTTCGGAAGCCCCTATGTGGTACTGAGGCCAGAGCCAAGACAAATGCCATCGCATCTGCCTCGGCTGCTGGCTGCGACAAATGATCGACGAGCACCTTGCAAACACGGCGTAGTACGGGATCGCCCTGCACAGGCAGATGATCCCGATGCAAAGTCAAAGGTCGCAAAGTTGGGCCGTCGTCTCAGAGGGAGATGGGCAGCTCTCAGAGGGGCTTAGAAGTTGAAGTTGTTTAGGTCCTCGGATATGCCTGAGGCGATGCCGAGCGTGGTGGCGATGGGTCCACGGCGCTTGTCGCACGGTCGGCTCTCCATCTCGATGTTTCACAAGTTCGCCATTGCCTCCCAACACCTGAACTGTAGGAAAGAGGAGGAGGAGCTGGATTTTGTCAAAGACGAGGATGGCGGCTACTTGGAGAAGTGGCAAGCTCTGCATAGCTTTTTACGCATCGCTCTCGCATGGTGCTGCGCAACGTGAATGGCTTTGCTGAGCTTGTGTTCGACAAGGTAGGCCCTAAACCCTATTTAAGAGCCTCCGGCTCAAGCCGCCGACCCCGCCGGAGCATTGTTCAGGCTCAAGCGGCGCAGCGTGCCCCGGCGCCAAACCCTAAACCCAAACCCGACCCTAAATCCTACAGCCGAAACCCTAAACCCTACAGCCTAAACCCTAAAGCCTCAGCCCTAAAGCCGAACCCTAAACCCCAAAGTAAAGCCTAAACCGAAACCGGAACCCTAAACCCCGAAAGCCTAAACCGAGCACAGCCCAACGACCACAGGCTTAGGGTTAAGGGTGGGAGGGCTTAGGGTTTAGGGTTTAGGGTGCAGGGCAGGAAGGAGGGGAAGGGAGGGGGGGGGGGTGGGGGGGGGTTGGGGGGGGTGGGCAACACGCCGCCAGGGTCGGCGGATACCCCAAACCCTAAACCCTATACCCTAAACCCTAAACGCAAGGTCCACGATGGTCTACCTCCACTACCGAGGCCAAGGCCCCAGCGAAGACGCGAGGCACCCCCGTACACTCGGAGCATGGAGGACGATAGAGACCCTAAACCCTAAACCCTAAACCCTAAACCCTAAACCCTAAACCCTAAACCCTAAACCTTAAAACCCATCTGAACCCTTGAAAACCCGAGCTGGCTCTGCTTCCGCTGACGGGTATCTTCAGCGTGTTTGAACCCTAAAGAAAGGCACGCTCCCCATGCGTGTCCAGTATTGCACAGCCCCGCATGCAAAGTTCTATACTTCCTAAGCCCTAGAGTCAGCATCCTAAAGCCATTTTTTTTAATACTGCGAAGCCGATGGGTTGCTCAGGTGTCCGATGCATCAGCCTGTGGCCCAAGCCCGAGAATCGCGAGGCCACCCCTCACGTGGCGGCGACGGTGTCGAAGGAGCCGCTGAAGAAGAAAAGAAGAAAACGGTGCAGACCACAGAAAAGACATCAGAAGCAGAATAACCACACGGAGCAGAGATGTGACTTAGATGTGATGACGAGCAGGACGTGTTGGCAGTTTCGAAGATTGGCATGGACGGCGTGAGCCTCCAAGTGCCCGCGGTGTGGCAGCAAAACGATCCCCATGACGGCGTTGGAGACGTGAATGCTGTTGCCTCAGTGCTTGGCTTTCCCGTGCGTGGTCGCCGCGCTAGCTCGCGTTGGAGGTCGCTGGCGTGCCCTCGGCCCATCCGCCTCGGCCACCCCAGGGCTGAGGGCCCCCCCCCATGCACAACAGGCCACAGGCCCCTCAAGCGCGAGCCAAGATTGTTCAGAGCCTGGTGCCCTGGGTCCCAAGAAACAGTACCTAGTCTGGAGACCCTTTGGAGAGATGGGGGGGGGGCGGGCCAAAGGGGGTGGAAGAGCGATTTGCTTGGCAACTGTGCTCAAGACGCTGGCCCAGGGGCCTCGGAACAGCGTGCCAGCCTGGATGATTCCATGGGGTGTCGGGTTGTGAGTTTTAGGGTTTAGGGATGTTTAGGGTTTAGGGATTTTGTGGTTTTGGTTTTTTGTGGTATGATGTATGTTTTCTTTGCGCAGTATCTGCAGCTGTAGGCCATGCAGCACGAAACAACGAACAAGATCTGGACTGGCGATAATGGCGGCAACCTTCGCTGCTGGGACGCTGGGGTCTCAATCACAGAGCTGCAGAGAGACTTCCTGTACTGGGGAGCAAGCGTTTGACCTGGGACTGCCTTATTATTATTATTAATAATTATTATTATGATTTTTATTATTATTGTTCTTATTAACTATTTGTATGATTATTAGAAGTACACCCAAAAAGGTACCCCTCATTTCGGAACCCCCCCCCCCATATTGCAACCAGCGGTTTCGCCATGGCTTTTGAGTGAGCATCACAGGTGAATGCTAGCGGCAAGGGCATCGTCTCCGACTTCAACAGTCTGCCGCTGCCGTTTAGGGTTTACTAAGGGTGCAGGGCCTGTAGGGTTTAGGGTTTAGGGTTTAGGGTTTAGGGTTGCAGATCAGGCATGCCATACTACTACCTGTGAAATCATATCAGTATTCTGCTAACTGAGTTTACATGCCTTAGCAGGAACCCCATTTGCTCTTTGCTGTTGCCAGGCCGTTCCACAGCCTACCCCAGCAAACGGAGACCTCTTTTGCTTAGAAACCTAAACCCTCAACCCTAAACCCTAAACCCTAAACCCTAAACCCTAGACCCTAGGCCCTAGACCCTAAAGACCCTAAACCCTAAACCTCTATAAACCTTAACCCTCCTAGTCTCAGCCAGGTCAGTCTGCGGGGTGGCTGTCGGGCCTGGCGATGTGGCCGGAAGCCGGTGTCATGGTGCGCCATCCGGGGACTTGACGCCCTGAGACTCTAAACCCTAAACCCGAAACCCTAAACCCTAAACCCTGTAAACCCTGTAATGCCTGTAAACCCTGTAAACCCTGTAAACCCTGTAAACCCTGTAAACCCTGTAAACCCTGTAAACCCTGTAAACCCTGTAAACCCTGTAAACCCTGTAAACCCTGTAAACCCTAAACCCTAAACCCTCCCTGAAGCTCTCTACCCCAAACCCTTATCCCTTATCCTTGGGATCTTCAGCACCTCGGGGGATCGTTCAAAGCAATCTAGGGGTGCAAGGGTCCCTGTAGGAAGGGGTTTTGGGTTTAGAGTTTAGAGTCTAGGGTTTAGGGTTTAGGGTGAATGAGTTTGAGATCAAGGGAAAAGTTCGGGGGACGTTGGGGCAAACAGTGCATGTTTTGCCGGCAGGTGTGCTCGCACTCAAGCGGCATCGGCTACGTCGACATTCGGGCTGGCCATGCCACCAAGACAACAGGGTTTAGGGTTTAGGGTTTAGGGTTTAGGGTTTAGGGTTTAGGGTTTAGGGTTTAGGGTTTAGTTACATAGCACACAGACAAGGTTGCATGCAAAATGCAGGCAGGTGTGTTGAAGATTGCCCATCCGTGCTTTGGGGTTCCTAACATCAACCCCAAACCCTAAGCCCTAAAAACGACCGAAACCTACCCATCTGGGTAGTTCTCGAAATGAAGGTCCCTGTTTGGGTATAGAGTACGGCACCCGTAAAAGAAGGCCCTCCCCGAAAGGAACCCCCGAATTTTAGAGCAAGGCTAAACCTTGCAAACCCTGAACCCCTCGAAGCCCCTGAAAATCTTAAGCCCCCACACCCCTAAACCCCCAAACCCCTAAACCCCTACACCCCTACGTAAGGGGGGCCCTTAAACGGGAGCCCTTCTGAACCCTCTTAAACAGGGACCTTATATATCCCCAAGGGTCCCACCTGAACCCTATCCCCTAGTTTCACCGCTTTCAGGAAAGGTCATTCGGCAGCAGTACACCAAAGAGTCGGTGGGGAAGGCCGTGTGGGAGGGGGGGTTCAGAATTGTTTTTGGGGGGGTTTGGGGGGGGGGGGGGGGTTTAGGGGGGTTTAGGGGGGTTTAGGGGGGTTTAGGGGGTTTAGGGGGTTAGGGAGTTCAGGGGGTTTAGTCTTCAGGAACCCAAGCAGGCAAGTTGTTTGAAGCATCCTGGGTACATTCCAGGCCTACTAAACGTTCGCCAGAGACACCCATGTATTCTCGGCATTGTCTATTCTCCGGAAGTTTCTTTTTTGTTCCACAGGTGTAGCTGCAACAGATCTGGTATACTGTGTGCTTGTTTCTGATGCAGTTTCTGACCCGTTTCTTCTAAGAGTCCTGTCCAGGAACAAGCAATGGGCCACATTTGGGTGTTTCCGAAATTAGGGGCACCTGATTGGGGTCCTTTTATACGGGGACCCTACTATGGGTGTATATTTGGGGTCCCCGATTTCGTAAACCCCCATTTCGCCATGCACCGATTTTGCCCTAAACCCTGACCCTGAACCCTAAACCCTAAACCGTATACCCCAAACCCTAAACCCTACACCCTAAACCCTGAACCCTGAACCCTGAACCCTTTTCCGCTTCCGGCAGGTCAACGTGTTGAACTGGACCAGCCCCATGCTGTTTGCTGGTATTGGCGGCGAGCTAATGCAGTGCCCCACCCCTTTGTCGGAATCAGCGCACCACTGCAGTACCATTGTCATACTATGATAATACTAGTACATTTACTAGTATAGAACGAGTACAATAGTAATAGAATACTAATAGAGTACGAATATAATACTAACATAGATTTTTGTTACTCTTGTCATGCTATTTGAAAATACTAGTAGAAGACTAACTTAGTGCTAATATTGTGCTCTTTTGGTACTAAGAGAATACTACTGTATTACTGCGATCATGGTATTGTAAGTTTCTATCATACGGTTTTTAATACCATTGCAATCTGTCCGTCGAAAGAACGATGTCGTCGAAGGTACGACACCCGATGTTTCGCTGACGGACAGGACGCCAAGCCCAAGGCAGGCTTTCTTAGGGTAGGGTTTAGGGTTTAGGGTTTGGGGTTTAAGGTCTTCCGGCTACTCCTACGTCGAGCCGGTTATAGCATCCCTGAAAGGGTATGTGTAGGGGGACACAAGGATTTGCAAGGTGCCAAATTCTCTCACTCCCTACAAAGAACCAGCAAGAGGAGTCTACCCTGAAACCTAAACCCTAAACGCTAAACCCCTAAACCCCTAAACCCCTAAACCCCTAAACCCCAAAACCCCAAACCCCAAACCCCAAGCCGTAAACCCTAAACCCCAAACCCCAAACCCCAAACCCCAAACCCGAAACCCTAAACCCTAAACCCTAAACCCTAAGCCCCAAACCCTAAACCCTAAACCCTAAACCCTAAACCCTAAACCCTGAACCCTGAACCCTAAACCCTAAACCCTAAACCCTAAACCCTAAACCCTAAACCCTAAACCCTAAACCCTAAACCCTAAACCCTAAACCCTAAACCCTAAACCCTACCAGGCTGTGGCTTCCTGGTCGCTGGGCTCCCCCATCACCTCGCTGCACTGCACGGAGACTGGGAAGGGGCGGCGGAGCTCAGAGGGGTTTAGGGTTTAGGGGTTTCGGGTTTAGGGTTTAGGGGTTTAGGGTTTAGGGTTTCGGGTTTAGGGTTTAGGGGTTTAGGGTTTAGGGTTTAGGGGTTTAGGGTTTAGGGGTTTAGGGGTTTAGGGGTTTAGGGGTTTAGGGGTTTAGGGTTTCGGGTTTAGGGTTTAGGGTTTAGGGTATCCATGTCATTTCCCCCCCCCCCCCCAGTTAGGGGACCTTAATGTAATGACCCTTTTTGGAGGAAGCCCCCCAAAAAAGGGGCACCACTGTAAATCCCCACTTCTGCATGTTTCCGCCAGCCTGTTTCTGAGGCACTTGTTGGTCGCAGCAGGCTGCATGAACGGAAAGGTTGCAGCATTCGATTCCACGTAGTACCATGCTATGTGATCGCTAAAATCCGGCGAAACTCTATTTGTGCAGCACTTGGCTTAGTGAAGGCTAGACTAGACGATGTTTCCTTCAGCTTGTCGCGTTAGTTCGGCTTTCAGCAAGCGATTGGTTCGGCGATGACGCGCCCTTTACAAAGTGAAAAAATGCCGCAAGCCAACGCTGACTGGGCTTAACATCGGCTAAATGGCTGGTTGCAGGGGTTGACTGTTCAGGCCGCGCAGCAGCGCGAGATAGGAGCATGTCTGCTTGCAGCCGATGGCATGGTTGCGTGGCATGGTTGGCTCTCAAGGGCAGTGTTCACATGTGCTCAGACTATGGTCATTTTTTCGATATGGCAGGAGTAGTTTCCATACAAGTGTGGCGGAGTTGTGCAACGTCGGAGCAGTTTAGCATACCGTTCAGGAGCATCCCATGATACAAGAACGAACAGCATGATGCAGGGCCGCCTGCCTGTCATGTCATGGTTTCAGGGTGGCAGCATCTTCAGCATCGCAAGCCCACGACCATCAACAGCTCTGCATGCTCTGCTGCGGCCAGTAACTAGCTCACAGTAGCTACCTGCCGTGACGCCATGACAAGCGTCCGACCGCTCTTGGTGACAGAGTCGGACAATGAAGCCATCCTGAATGACAACCCGAAGCCTGAATCTGTCGAGTTCGCCGAGCTCGACACCGTGAAGCCTTCCACGACGGAGCAGTCGGACTTCAGCACAGCTCCGGCATATCGAACGAGGAGCGCGACTTCAGATGCAAGCACGATGAAGGTCAAGAAGTCCTTTCGAAGGCTCTGGAGCCTGGCGGCCCGACCGCAAGCTGGATTTAGATCGGGCTTAGGGTTTAGGGATTAGGGCTTAGGGTCTTAGGGTTTAGGGTGTAGGGATATGCCGGGCTCCTGCTGCAGTTTCGGGAGTAGGATGGTCAGTACTGGTTGATACATCATGATGGCTTTGCGCCTGTGCATGAGGTCCAGGAGCGCGTGTCGACCTTTCCCATGCAGCAGAATACAGGGGACGGCCTGATTCTGGCTTTGGTGGGCTGCTCAGCCTTTGGGACGGTAAGCTGTGTGCTCCCTCTCTCTCTCTCTCTGTACGACACCAACAGGGTGAATGGTGGCACGTATATGTATATATACTTGCTGATCTGGAGGGGTCCTGTTATGTTCGATAATGTGACCCGTTGGTTTTTCTCTCTCGTAACACCTCCAAAGCTGCATCAAACTATCGGCCTCCTGGACGCAAAGCAGTCGCCACGCTTGGATGGTCTTAGGGTTTGGGGCATTACTAGCAGGTTTGGGGTTTGGGGTTTGTAGGTCGTAGGGTTTAGAGAGTATCCAGGGGTGTTAGACGTGACTTTCCCATGTCTAGTCTTCCTGTTTAATGCATTTGCTCGTGGTGTGTCTGTCTCTCTCTCTCTCTCTCTCGCTCTTTCTCTTTGTGTCTTTCTCTCTCTTCGTTTGTCCCACTGACATATGCGCATTAACGTCACCCCAAAAGAGGAAGCTGAACCCTTGCTTCCAACACCCAGGCGCAGCACTTGGAAAGAGTGTAATTTCCTAGGCCCTTAGGACATTACATACTGGCTCTGTTTTTGGTTTACGAGCATCATCTTCAGGAATATTTTTCAGAGGGTTTAAGCTTGCGATTTAGTACGGGAGCCAGGTAACGCATACAGTCTCCCTCTATACCCCCTTACAGGGAATGTATGGGGTGCCTGAATTCACTGTGAAGCGCCAGTAAGCAAAGGCCAACAGGCTTCTGGAAGTCTGGAAGCCTTGCCTTAAGGCCTTTTTGGGAGGCCTCCTTTCTCAAGCCTGTATCCCGAACCCTCAGGGTCGAATCCGAGTTTTTATTACAAGCCCTGGCTTAAAATCAGACTGTAGCAAGATTCCTCCCATGACGATGGTAGAAGAAGCTTCTAAAGGCTTCAAATGCGGTATAGGTATCTGTAGAGTTCCGTGTACTTTTGACCAGAGCATGGAGGGGTTGGTGATCGTAGTATGTGTATGTACTTGTGTTCATGTATTTATGCACGTACAGGTTCAGATAGATGAGCAACTAATGTACACATATATATATATATATATATGCATATATCTGTGTATGTATATGTATGGGTATAGGTATAGGTATACGTATATGTATATGTATATGTGTTTACACATGTTTCTCTAGAGAGAGACATACACATACCAACTGAGAAGCTCTTCTCTCTGTCATCTTCGCTGTCAGGCTGTCAGTTGCTTCGGAGACGAAGACACAAACACAGCATGTCAGACCTACCACCAGCCTGAGCCTTGAATTTTGATCAGGTACGAACCCGAGATCAAATCTTTTCAGATACCTTCTACATGGAGGCCGGTCTCCACGTACAAGTTGTGTGCCCATTCAATTGCTTGTAGACAACTGCTACATGTTGCGAACATGTGCTGCTCTCTGCCAGTATCCGGAGCCGGGGGTGGCACAGCACGACTGTTGTGCACGGGCCAGACCTGTCCATTCTGTCCATCTCCTGCGCACAGGACACGACGCATGAGGCAGCCCGATCGCATTCATTTGAACTGCAGAGTTTCGTTCAAAGCTCGCAGACTTGCACGTGTGACCACGGCCCTCTTGCCCCAGGGCAAAACTAGCCAAGGTGCTACAGCTGGGTTTGGTGTTGTGGC